TGATGATAAGAATAAGATCTCAATAGTCGATCAAGCATCCTAGAAACAGGCAATCGTCTCAATCTCTGGACGTAGATTTCCCTCATCAAACCTTATTTGGTATTGGCTCAAATTTTTGTTGTCATTACATCAACACTCATACTGAACAGTGATGTTTTTAATACAATGACAGTATCTTGCATTTTGTGTTTTTATTTTCAGACTAGCTTTGGAATTAAAGGCCTTAAAGCCTACACATCTTATCACCCCATTCCCACTTTCTTACGAGCTTCTGTCTCTTTTTTCTTCGATATTGCCTTATTTTTTACCACTTTTTATTCAGGTCCGAATGCGAAGTTTTGAACTGGATGTCAGCAGAGGTTACATTTAACTACTTCGTACAACTTCTTGATATCCCTGAGTTCTCTTACTCTTTGATGCTTGGCCTTCTTGTCAGCGTTGGAGGACTCACTGAGAAGACAGTATGCATTTTTTTAGTCATTACATTGCAACTTGAATAACTAGTTATTTTGGATAATATGTATGCAACTCGATTGATTTCCTTTTTTATGCACATTCATTTCTCTTATCTGTTTCTAATATTGAGTTCTTACGTTCATATTTTTCATTGAATATTTAAATATTTTAGAATTTTGCCATTCTTAATAGTTTTTTCCGCAACTATCAAGAGCCTTGTCGTTGTAGTGTCTTACCATAAGGCTATTCTTATTTAACTTTGATTGTAGATTCGGCCTCGCTTGGGCCATAACATCTCTCCATGCCTGTTTCGAACTGTGGATAAAGTGAACACATCACCCATTATGCCACTCTACCCTAGCCACATCGGATACACGACAAACCATTTTCGACTAGTCTTGTATTGAATAATTATCCATTCTGAATATGACGAATGCGCTCATTTTTATCTATTTCAATTATAGGGATGATTTAAATTGTCTCTTGTCTTAGTGGTTTCTATAAAATGATTGCAAATGAATTATTTGTCGTCGGAAGGCAACCTATTTCCGGCGAGACTAATGTTGGTGTCCATCTCACTAATTTTATCACGTATGGTATGGAGTCTTAACAAATTCCTAATGCCTCTGTTATTCACCACATTTAAACAATTACCTTTTACTAATATTCTTAATTACCAACTGGTTATTATTATCTCTTTATTTAATGAAGTTTTAATCAAAGACATGACGTTTTATTTATGTTTGGCCTTTGTCCGCTGGTTGATTGCTCAAAAGAATCGATATTACTCAAGTGAAACTGTTGGTTAGTGTTCCAACATCTTAGGTGAAGAATTCTTTGTTTGATTTCCGATATAATTGATATTTTTTGCCTCTTCCAGGTATATTTCGCTCATTATTATGTATCATATATGATATTCCTTTTTGACCTTTGTATCGTACCTAAATTATTCTTATTGCTGCTAAGTCCTGTTCTAGTTCTTCTGAATACTTTAGAATAAACTTCTATAGCGCGATTAACACTCCTAAATTTTCGTCAATTTTTTACTTTATTTTTACAGGCTCGCTGCAGCTCTGAATCACTTCGCAACCAATTAAGGAAGCACGAGGGAGATCTGGAATATATGAAGAATTTTATTCGCACAATAGACCACATTTTTTCTAATCAGGACGGGGAGAGGTTAGGCGGTCACCTCATTTTTGGTCATTTAAAGGCATATTTTATTGGGCCAATTATTAATACATCTCTTGACGACTACCAAATTTTCTTTTGTATATATTGTTATTTATTTATTTATTTTACCTCTGCATTTTTATTAACATTTATTTTTGATAAATTTCAGGGTTGCTTTACCATTATTGAAGTTTACTGACTTCATACTCAACGAGCCAGCGGTAACTTTTACCCTCCTTAATGAAGAGTAAGGATTCTTTATTGTATTTGCCTCTGTTTATTCTTTGGTAGGGTATAAAAAAATCGAGTGCTTCTTTTAATAGAGCCCATTCCACTCGACATATTTTTCTTAACTATTTTCAACTAAAGCAGTTGGGTTCCATACCGTCTTCAACCATCAATAAAATGCATAAAACTCGATCTTATTTTGGAAACCATTGTTTTTTAGAGTTTATGTTTGCTTATTTATATTGCCTTACTTTAGCTGCTTCATTCTATTTTATTTCTTATGCACTCTTTACATTTAGACTTAGGCCATTCCTAAGTTTACTTGACTCTTATAAGATCGATAACTTTTTTTACCTTCAGTTATTTTTCTTAAACATGAACTAGTGTGTCGTTTATTTCATCGCCAATAGCTAATGATCACTTTATTGTTTATTTATATTTATAAGGATAAGTCTCATTTGGTTGAAATTTTCGTAATGGATTTCACTTTTTATCTTTTCTTTTTAACTCTTCCTTTTTAAATGCTTTTAACAGTGATCTACTTTTGAGTCTCTTGAATAGCAGTTGGGACTCAATTAAAAGATCTGTAGACGTACATCGCATC